ACCCTGTTCTTCAGTGGTCAGGACCCCCATGGACCCTCACAGAGCAGGTACTATTTGGGTGGTGGGTCATTCTCAGCACTGCAGTGACACTGACGTGGTGGTGGTGTGTTAGTGTGTGTTGCGCTGGTCTGAGTGGATCAGACACAGCAGTGCTGCTGGAGTTTTTAAACACCTCAGTGTCGCTGCTGGACTGAGAATAGTCCAGCAACCAAAATTATCCAGCCAACAGCGTCCTGTGGGCAGCGTCCTGTGACCACTGATGAAGGACTAGAGGATGACCAACACAAACTGTGCAGCAGCAGATGAGCTATCGTCTCTGACTTTACATCTACAAGGTGGACTGAGAAGGTAGGAGTGTCTAATAGAGTGGACAGTGAGTGGACACAGTGTTTAAAAACTCCAGCAGCACTGCTGTGTCTGATCCACTCGTACCAGCACAACACACACTAACACACCACCACCATGTCAGTGTTACTGCAGTGCTGAGAATGATCCACCACCCAAACAGTACCTGCTCTACCTAGCACATAAACATCCACCAAGTTCATATGCAATGAAGCACACAACATCAGGTCCACATGAGGCGCAGTGGACACAATAATTGTATTTTTTAATAAACGATACATTGTGCAGCCCTATTTCAGTGCTCTCTTGGTACATACATCTCAATTGGAGTTAAACCTGAATGTGCAGACCTGCTTCTTTATTCCTTTCTGGTTATGGGGGATATGAATGGCGGTGTAAAACGGGTCATTAATATAAATCAGCAGAGGCCTTTTTGGAACCCATCTCCACCAGTATAAAAGCACTGGGACTGAAAAGAAGGAGCGATTGGTGAGTTTTGGACCATTAAAACTTCACACAGATCATTTGCAGACTCATGGTCCTCTTAACAAGCCAGACTGATGGCTGCCTTCAGCTAAAATCACTCCAGCGCTCCCTCATTACCAACACGGCTTAAAATCGCTCTGACGGACGAAGCTGAAAGAGGAGTAAGTCTTTTGCTTCTACTGCTCTACATGTGGCTCGAGGGAAGCACGGGAGAAGGAACTGCACACTGATGTTTGGACAGAGGATCAGACAGAGGTGAGGTCAGACACTGTTGGAAATAAAGGTTCTGTTCAGGTACGTTTCTCGTTCATCAAGGTACAAACAGTGTAAATGTTCCCTCAAAGCTCCAACAGTGGTTTTAAGGTCTGATTGTGAACCTTAAATAAGTGTTTCCAGGTGAAAAGTTCGTATTTGTACCTTTTCATAACCGAATGTTTTAAACAGAACAGTAAAATAAAAGCCTGGAGACGAGACGGGGTGTGTGGAGTCAGTACAGCTTAGAACATATCATTTCAGTGAATTATGGTTCAGTTATGTTCCCTGACTAAAGGTACTGAGATGGACCCTTGAGGGAACCACCCCAGTGACAGGAGGGGAACTGACCCAGAGACAGTTTAGTACCTTTATTTCTGAGAGTGTTTGTTTCTTTTACATATATGCTCTTTCCCAATTTGACGCCCAGAACACATTCCAAACAACATGGAACAGGAGCATGTTTACCACTGTTTTACACAACTGTCCTTTAACAGTACTTAATAATCAAAACTAAATCAGTTTTAAAAGTGGAATTATTTGTTTTTCTATTATACAAGTCTTCGGCTATGCAAACAGGTCCTTCATTGTTGTATTTTTGCACTTATTTTCAGTGGGAGACAGTTCTGGACTGCAGGCTGGTCAGTCTAGCACCTGCACTCTCTGATTACACAGCCGTTGTATGTTATAACACGTAAAAATGAACATCCCTGAAAAAGACAGTGTCTAGAAGGCACCATATAATGGTGCTTTCACAGATGCAGGTTACCCACTAATGCCCCCCACACACCACACTCTCAAAAAGCTGATAAACCAAACATGAAAATAAGATTCAGGGTTTTCCAGGAAACATTCAAGCTCCCCAAGCTCATGGAGCAAACCATCCCCAACCATTCAGTCCAGCAGTTAAACCAAGAACGCTAACTCTGCAGCGTCAGGCTGGATGAACGTCTGTCTCCTCTCAGTTTGTGTGAGAGAAGCAAAGAGGGGCAGCGAGGAAGTGAAAGCAAAAAAAGAAAAGGAAAAAAGGAAGAGGAAGATGCGCTGGTAAAAAAGCAGCGCTGCAGGCAAAGAAACGCTTTTATGAGCAAGAAAAAGTTGGTCCGAATTAACCTCAGTCGATCACGTCCCTGAGCAGAGCGCTCTGGGAGATTTCAGCTTTTAGTGAAGGTTCTGTTGACATGGCTGGAAGAGTCTTACAGTCCCTTTCAATGTCTCTCGCTCTTTGCTCTCTCTCTCTCTGTCTCTCTTTTCTCCCAAAATGAAGACATAAGTTAACGTGGAGGTTAACTGGCTTCTGCTGATGTCTCAGTCAAAGAGGGAAGAGCTTCAGTTGTAGACTTTAGTCGGAGGTTCATGCAATTACAATCAAGCTGAACCAGCAGACAGTCCAGATCATCACATTCCACCCAGCAAAATTACAAAAGGCACAAAATGAAATCAAAAGCTTGAACCACAGCATTAACAGGCCTTCGGTCCCGAGGCTGCGGCTGATTAAAGCTCATCACAGTTTAACATACAACACAGCTGAACTTCAGCTGAACCCAGAGAAAAAGCGTCTTCTCTCTGAAATCGGACCGATTTGAAGATGTTTCTGTCCGATGCCGATTTTAAGAGACTAAAGTTTCTGATAACAGACAATAGAGATAATATACACTCCTAAAAAGATGGTTCTTCAAGGGTTCTTTAGTAAAATGGCTCTATGTAGAACCATGAACAATTACAGACCCCTTTGCATAATTTGCATCATCAAAGGGTTCTTCATATTGATGGAGAATGTGCTGTAGATGGTTCTATATAGGACCTTTTTGAGAAGGGGTCTATACAGCACCAAAAAGGGTTCTTCTACTGTTACAAGCTTCACATCATGACAATAGAAGAACCCTTATTGGTGCTATATAGAACCATATCCACTACATTCTCCATCAATCTGAAGAAACATTTCACCCTGCGTTTTCAAAAAGATTCTATACAGAACCATGAACACTTCAAGAACCCTTTGCAGGATTAAAGGGTTCTTCAGATTTATGGAGAATGTGCTGTAGATAGTTCTATATAGATCCTTTTTGAAAAGGGTTCTATATAGCACCAGGAAGGGTTCTTCAACTGTTACAAGCTTGGTGCTATATAGAACCATATCTACTACATTCTACATGAATCTAAAGAACTATTTCACCATGTGTTTTCAAAAAGGTTCTATATAGAGCCATAAACACTTTAAGAACCCTTTGTACGATTAAAGTGTTCTTCATATCATAAAAGCGTTCTTCAGATTTATGGAGAATGTGCTGTAGATAGTTCTATATAGATCCTTTTTGAAAAGGGTTCTATATAGCACCAGGAAAGGTTCTTCTCCTGTTACAAGCTTAACATTATAACAAGACAGGAACCCTTTTTGGTGCTATATAGAACCATATCTACTACATTCTCCATGAATCTGAAGAAACATTTCACCATGCATTCTCAAAAAGGTTCTATACAGAACCATGAACACTTCAAGAACCCTTTGCATGATTAAAAGCTTCTTTGCATGGTGAAATCATTCTTCAGATCGAAAGAGAATGTGCCGTAGATGGTTCTATTTAGAACCTTTTTAAAAAGGAGTCTATATATAGCACCAAAAAGGGTTCTTCTATTGTTACAAGCTTGACAACGTAACAATAGAAGAAACCTTTTAGGTGCTCTATAGAACCATGTACAACACGTTCTCCATCAATCTGAAGAACGCTTTCAGGATGCAAAGAAGCTTTTAATCATGCAAAGGGTCCTTGAAGTGTTCATGGTTCTACATAGAGCCATTTTCTTTACTAAAGAACCCTTGAATAACTTTTTTAAGAGTGTAAAGCTGATATAATTAGAGATTTTTTAGGGACACATAATCAGAATCTGCCAATTATTACTGCAAAAATTATTCAACGATCAGTCAGATCAGTTTTCTGATTTGGTCTGATCCGTGTTGCATGTTTAAGGTACATAAGGTGAGGCAGGGAAGCACCTCGATCCATAACTATCCATGACTCACGGGGCTGAACAGCCAATCGCCTCTTAATTTTAATGTAGCACTTATCCGAGTCACGTTCTTTAAACAGGCAACTGATTTTTCACTTGCAGTGAATCTAAAATGCTAGTTTGTCCCGTCCTTTCCAGAAAAGTCACACAAGTTTCACAGGTGAAGTGTGAAAAAACCATCATACACTCAGAAACAGGTATTTTCTGATTCCTCACAACGATGATACCATATTATCCTCCCTGTTTGAGAGAGAATACAGCAGAATGAGCGAGCCTGCGACTGTAATCCATCTGCTTTCGTCCTCCTTTACCACGCCACAGAAAACGAGCCACTCTGAGTGATTCAGGTCCATCATCAACTTCTGCCAACAGTTGTGCATTAAGCTAATGAAGCTTACTTTATACACAGACATAAAAGTACAAAAAACGTGCCACGAATGCCAAGTAACTGGAAGAGCGAGTACAGCTCCCCTCCTACTGTAAATCTTCAGATTAGCATTCCTTAACTAGAGTCCAGACATCCCACAATGTAATATAAATACATCTGTTTTTATTTAATAAGATCCAGCTTTCAGGTCGACATTCTCCAAGTAACGATGCATCCTTGGCAACCCACCCACAATAAGGCCCCCACATTTCATAGCAGCAAAGCGTGGTATAATACATATGTGTGAGTATATGAGAAGAACAGTCCTGCTAAAAAAGCAGTTTCCCAGAATTGTGATGAAACGTAACAAATACCTGAAACGTGATTACTCATGATTACTGATTACTGATTGGTGATAAGTGATCACTGAGTACTCGAGTCCCCACGCACATCCCCACTATCGAACCAATGGTTAATTTTATCCCTAACAGCAAGACACCAGGAGGACAGATTAAGAGAAATCCACAAAACGCTGACCTACCAAATACAGTCCTGGCAGGAACGGATTCTTTATTGATCCAGAAAGACACCTGAGCGAGGATGACGGTCATGATGCAGGGGATGTACGTCTGGATCAGGAAAAATCCCATCTTCCTCTGCAGGTGGAAGTGAACCGTCATGACTATGTATTCACCTGCAAGAGACAGGACATGAGCGAAGTCGTACACGCCATTCCAACATGGAATTTGACTAGGGGTGCACAAAATTTTGCACACGACTGTATACAGTGGACCTCTGAGGTAGGTCATGGTAGGTGGAAGCACAAGGTGGGTGTTTCTAATAAAGTGGCCAGTAAGTTGAAGTACAAGGTGGGTGTTTCTAATAAAGTGGCCAATGAGTAGAAGTGCAAGGTGGGTGTTTCTAATAAAGTGGCCAGTGAGTGGAAGTACAAAGTGGGTGTTTCTAATAAAGTGGCCAGTGAGTGGAAGCACAAGGCGGGTGTTTCTAATAAAGTGGCCCGTGAGTGGAGGTACAAGGTGGGTGTTTCTAATAAAGTGGCCAGTGAGTGGAAGTACAAGGTGGGTGTTTCTAATAAAGTGGCCAATGAGTGGAAGTGCAAGGTGGGTGTTTCTAATAAAGTGGCCAGTGAGTGGAAGTACAAGGTGGGTGTTTCTAATAAAGTGGCCAGTTAGCAGAAGCACAAGGTGGGTGTTTCTAATAAAGTGGCCAGTAAGTTGAAGTACAAGGTAGGTGTTTCTAATAAAGTGGCCAATGAGTGGAAGTGCAAGGTGGGTGTTTCTAATAAAGTGGCCAGTGAGTGGAAGTACAAGGTGGGTGTTTCTAATAAAGTGGCCAGTTAGCAGAAGCACAAGGCAGGTGTTTCTAATGAAGTGGCCAGTTAGCAGAAGCACAAGGTAAGTGTTTCTAATAAAATGGCCAGTTAGTGGAAGCACAAGGTTGGTGATTAATTGATTACAGAAGTAATCGTTAGTTTACAGATCATGTTACCTGTGTTGGACTTTAACCTTTCACTCGAAACAGTCTGTCCTATGAGGTCGTACTGCAGCAGGTTGGACGACTCCTGAGGAACTTCCACTGAAAATAACGGCCCTTTCTTCCACGTGTACACGATTTCACTGACGGGGTAGGCGTCTGCGGTGAACAGAGGCAAAAACAACAAGCTCCAGTTGTGCTCAAATCACCAGATGCCTCTACAGTTGACAGTACGAGCTTTTACAGTTGACTTACAGCTGCCGAATTTCAGGGGACAGGAGTGACCGTCCATTGGGAAGTTTATCAGCCTCATTGGACATTCTGCATTGATGGTTAGTCTGCATGTGAATAAAGACAGAAACAGCATAAAGCAATGAAAACGTATGAAACAACACCAATTTTTTTTTTATTATCACCAAAAAGGTAACTTTACAGGAGAAGGAAAAACGTTCTTAACTTTTAATAAAAGTAAATGGAGAAATATTTTTTTCTAAGTAATTATGGACCATTTCTGTTGGTCAATTCATCATGAAATTTTGACATAACATAAAGGACAACTGCCTTTTCCAAATTATGTCAAAAAATAAAAAACAAAAATGGACATACAAGGTTCTGTCCTGACAGCAATGATTTGTAGCTGGAAACAACCGTAAATACAGTAGAAAATACAGCAGACAAATTTTCAGTCACTGATTAGTGCATATTCATAAATTGCAGCAAATTTAATTTTTGTGCCACTACAAGTGAAGTGGAGGAACATATGACACTTATAAAAGCTGTATTCAATTCATAACTTAAAACTGCATGTAAAGTTACAAATTAAAATTATAGTAAAATACACTAAACATGTTAAAATTACAAATGTAAATAAAAAATGTTGAAATAAAGCCAAAAATGAGGACAAACTGGGTCACTTTTGTACAATTGCACAAATGACCGTACATTTATATTGCTTCATATTTATGCTTTTCAATGAAAACTGAAAAATAATGAATAAGGACCTGTAGTATTGAGAAGTACTGTATATTACAACTATTGCAACAGTATATTATTATTATTATATTAGATATGGAGGCACTTGGCCCATTTATTTTTTTCTGTTAATTTCTTTGCCGTTTTTACTCTTTCAGCTATAAAAAAGTGTCATTTTTGGTCATTTTTGGCCAAATATTCTGGCACACCCTTCATAGCGATGATTTATTGAGCATTCCGTACATCTGCCAGCCCTGAGCAGAGCGTGAGGATGAAAGGGTGAAGGACTTTGCTGCTGATTTGGGAAGCGCTGGGCTCTGGCAGTGAGTCTTACCGCATGGTGTAGAGGATAGTTCCGTTCTGCATGATGCGGAACAGCTTGTTGGGAGTGGTCATGTTGTGGGAAATGGAGCGTTTGCCATTGCGGAAGAACGTGTCCGGAGTCCAGATTTTGCTGACCATCAGGTTGTTCAGGCGCAGGATGTCGATGGGGCCCTCGAACTTGAGCCGCTCGTCTATCCACGTCTGCCGGAAGAACACGTCCATCGTGTATTCCTGAGTGACATGGATACGTGCCGTTTTATACAGTGAAGCAACGAAGCACTTTCCATAACAAAAGTCTGGGAACGCCGACTGCTTTTAACACAAATCATCAGGTCAGTTTTAACTACAGGTCAGTAGAAAACAACAGATATAACAACGAATCTCTGCCAGTTGATCACAGATATTCTTACAGGTACTGTTTGTAACCAGAAGTCTAGTCTTTGGATGGATGTTTAAATTAAATTCTTTATTTAATTGTGAAGACATGCAGGATTTTACTACATAAGATTATTAAAATCTCTTTGTTTAATTATTATAAAACATTTTCAGCCATTTTGTAGCACAAAATATAGAATTAACCCCTTATAATTCCAGGCTTCCCTTACATACCACGGCTTATTACTACTGCATGGACTACAATGCAAACTACACTCAAAAATGATGGTTCTTCAAGGGTCCTTTAGTAAAGAAAATGGTTCCACATAGAACCATGAACCTTCGACTAATTATACGATTTGACCAGGGGTGCCTCAATTTTGCAAGACTGTATGCTAAGAAAACCTTTGCAGATGTTTCTACTTTAGCCTGAAAATCGCCAAAGACATTTTAGGTGTCCCCAAACTTTTGACCGGCAGTAATGACCCAAGCGGTTTCTGAGCCACACACAGCACAGCGACCACGACTCTGCCTACAGATCAGAAACGCGGCCAAACAACAGAGCCAGGCTGCTTTTACTCAACACGACTGTTGTTGTGTTCCAGAGCTGCGCGTGGAGACTTATCATCCATACTGCCTATCGGATTGTCGGGGCGGATCACATGGCAGCGTGGAGGATAGTATAGCACAGAGGGGAATAAAAGTCAGCTCAGCCGGGACCCTCACTGACAGGGATTGTCAACCAGATTAAAATCGCTAAGCTAAGCTGCTCTAATGACATCCTGCCCAAATGCCAGAATAATGAAGGCTGGAATGGACATGACTTGAGGCAGCGGACGTAAAAGAACTGGAAGCAATTACTGCAGACATTCTAGCCAGTGGTAACATGATGAAACACTGGTATATGTGCATATATACAGTATATACTGCTTAAAACCATTTATCTCAGCAGTAAACACTCCTACTGAGCTTTAGAATAAACGTAAACAAGCGCCATTTCAGTTGGTTTTAAACAGTAGTTGATATCTTGTGAGCTGCACACTTAAAAATGACCATTTTCTAAGGGTTCTTTAGAAAAGAAAAGGGTTCTGTATAGCACCAAAAAGAGTTCTTCTATTGTTACAAGCTTGACATCGAAACAAACAAAGAACCCCTTTTGGTGCTACATAGAACCATCTAACACACCCTTTCATGATGCAAAGAACCCTTCAATCATGCAAAGGGTTCTCTGAGTGTTCATGGATCCAAAAGGGTTCTATATAGCACCAGGAAGGGTTCTTCTCCTGTTACAAGCTTAACATCATAACAAGACAGGAACCCTTTTTGGTGCTATATAGAACCATATCTACTACATTCTCCATGAATCTGAAGAACCATTTCACCATGCATTCTCAAAAAGGTTCTATACAGAACCATGAACACTTCAAGAACCCTTTGCATGATTAAAAGCTTCTTTGCATGGTGAAATCATTCTTCAGATCGAAAGAGAATGTGCCGTAGATGGTTCTATTTAGAACCTTTTTGAAAAGGAGTCTATATACAGCACCAAAAAGGGTTCTTCTATTGTTACAAGCTTGACAACATAACAATAGAAGAAACCTTTTAGGTGCTCTATAGAACCATGGACAACACGCTCTCCATCAATCTGAAGAACGCTTTCAGGATGCAAAGAACCCTTCAATCATGCAAAAGGTTCTCTGAGTGTTCATGGATCCACAAAGAAACATATTCTTTACTAAAGAACCCTTGAGGAACCATCATTGTTAAGTATGTAGTTATAAAAACACAGGTTTGGTTCCTGACTTCTCGCTGCACTCCAGCCATCACATGGATTTGTTCAATTCCTTCACCTGATTTAACACTGACTAAATTGAAGTATTGATTAATTATTGATAGACCAGGTATTGGATGATAGCGCTAGGCTTCCTCGAGGAGAGCTTTGGAAATGATTAAGCAAAAACACTGACATTCATGAAACTGTTACTTACTGTATTTGGGCTTCATTCTAAAATTAGTGTTTTATGAGCAAATAAACACTTTGTGATGAAATTCAAGTTGACCAGCTTTGTGATTCTATTTTTTTTTTATTTCAGACGCCTATTTGCGCAATATATCATCACTCCTGAAACCAAATCATGTATAATAAAGAAGATTTTTAAAAGTGAATAATTTTTTAATGTAAGTTAATGTAATAAGGTTTTATTCAATGAAATGTTAGACCATTTCTGTGGGACCATTCATTATGAAATGTGAAATAATGTAAAGGACAACTGACATTTTAAATTATGTAAAATACACACACACATATATATAACTTTCACGATATACGATGCCTCGAGCTTTACACAAACAACAAATCAGCATATCATGACTGCTACCTTTATAAGACTATAATAGAATACATATATATATATATATATATATATATATATATATATATATATATATATATATATATATATATATATATCTCACTGTTGTCGGAAGAAAAACCTTGTATGTCCATTTTAGTAATTTTTCAGTTTCTGGCATAATTTGAAAATCCTTGTTGTTCTTTACATTGTGTGTAAATTTCATGATGAATGGACCAAAAGAAACGGCCCAAAAATGACTCGGAAAAAGTCTGGTTCCATTGACTTACATTAAAAGTACAGTATGTTTTTTCCTTCTCCTGTAAAGTTACCATTTTGGATATATGAGGTTTTCTTCTGACAACAGATATATATATATATATATATATATATATATACACTCATGCTTTTTCACAGTATAAGCATTTTAAAGCATATTCTGTTCCACTTGCTGCATCCATACCCTGTACAAGTGAAGTGCGCTTGACTTTTACTCACGTACCATTTCCACATCTGACACTGGACCAAAGCTGGTGACAAAGATGTCTGTTTTGACCTCGGTGACAGGACCTACACAGAGATGACATTGTGTTTCTATAGAAAAAATACATTTTTAAAAAAGGAATAAAGAAATAAACACATCCACCAGTGCCTGCTGGACCTCATACGTGTTATAAACAGTGCTGAACTGAACTGATGAAAACAATGAGCCTAAAGTGATGAAAGAATAGACTAACAATCACAAACTGCTTTCTCTGTTGAAAATGAGTGGTGTTCATTTATTCACTCATTCATTCATTCATCCATTCATTTCACTAGACTGTCAGTGTGTCTGCTGAGATTCGACTGAATGAGTCACTGTAAAATCACCCACAATTGGCTTCGATTCACGACGCTGTGCTTACCAATCGATATTCTCTCGATATTGACCATATTGACAGCTGCAATCATGTAACTCACTAATGACACCAGCGCTGGGCGGCGGGAGGAGAGCTGGAGTGAGGCGTCCTAACAATGCGGCCACAATAGCCGGCATAACTAACAGAATGTCTGTCCTCAATGACGCTCACCGTCACAGTTCTGCATCCCTAACCAGAACAGTAAATATGCAGAAACGTAACTTTTAAAGAGGGAAAATTAGCACTCTCAAAAACAGAGGTGTCAGATGGAACCAAATAAGGGTTCTCTGGGGTGATACCATTCACTTCCCTAAGGAACCTTTCAATGGATGCATTTTTGATGTGTGTTTTAAACTCCATGCAATATAAAATTTCTACACCAATGAAATGCCTTTCCTAGAACCACACATTCAAGCCAAGAAGAACTGAAGAACCATTATTACATGTTATGAGTGTAGCGCTGGTTGATATACTGACTGGTATACGGTGATATTTCAACACCATCATATGGCTCGTTTTTAATTTTTGCAATATTATCACTGATGTTCAATCTGAAAAAAGATGCTGCGTAAAGGAAATGGTTCTATTTAGAACCAGGAGTTCTATATAGAACAATTCATGCTTAATTGTTCTTCAGACTGATGGAGAATGTGTTCTCTATAGCACCAAAAAGTTTACACTGTCAAATTTGTAACAATAGCAGAACGCTTTTTAGTGCTATATAGAACCCTTTTCAAAAAGTTGCTATATAGAACCATCTGCGGCACATTCATCATGCAAAATACCCTTTAACCATGCAAAGGGTTCTTTGTGTGTTCATGGTTCAGTATAGAACTATTTTCTTTGTAGTAGAACCCTTTTTGGTGCTATATAGGACCCTTTTTAGAAAGGTGCTATATACAACCATCTGCAGCACATTCTCCATCAATCTGAAGAACCCTTTCACCATTATACAGAACCATTTTGCTTACTGAAGTGTTCATAACACATTCTATATCGATCTGAAGAACAATTTCATCATGTAAAGAACCATTTTAGCAAATAGAACCGTTCCCTTTACTAACCCTTGAAGAACCATCTTTTCTAAGAGTGCATGTGATACAGATACAGAGCTTATATCCATGTTAATGTCCATAAAATAGCATAAAGCAAAGCATTACTTGGAAACCGGTGCTCAACAGAAGGATATCGTCATGAAAGAACACTTCTCAACCAAACAGACAGTTTTATGATAGTTTGGGCCTAAAATATCATTTCAAACTCATACATACAGGGCGTTGTAAACAAAATAGTCCCCACAGAAAAAAATCTGCAGGTAAACAGAGTCGTTCAGAGTGGTTTGGTGTGAAACGCTCCATTCTAGATAAACTTACCGAGTCAGAACTGTTCACAGTGGTGGTGACAGGAACCAGACGTCCACCTCTAAAAGCTCCCTCACAGAAAGTTCCTACATGAAATGGTTATGAATTCACTGCCTGATGACTGAGACACTGTTTTATGATAGTTTAGAGAACTTAAACTCCATTCATGGTGGAGGGATACATGCAGGGCGCTGTGAGGCAAAATAGTCCCCAAAGAAAACTTATTATTTCAGATTTTCCACTATTTTCCATCATCAACATTCCATATAAACTCAGAAGACTCGTGTAGGTTCACTGGTGGTTCTGGATAGTAAATAAAATGTCTATATCTGTGTTGTAGTCATGGCGACCCCTGGTTCCTATCAGCACCACTGTAAAGACATCTGAGAGGGTCATTTTTGGTTTATGTTGTTCTATTTCGTGCACTTTAATCATTCAGTAAAGGACCTGCAGACACTGTGAGCGTCAGATTGTTTGGAAAGAACAGATTAAAATCTATTAAACTTAATAAATAGTAAGTTCCTACTATATAAATGTGGTTTACAGTTCTCTGTTGTGAGCTGATGCAATATTTACAGCTGTAAGACAGATTTGAGGTGGTCAACTTTATTCTCTCACACTTAAATATCAAATATAAACATCTGATGTTGTGATGCAACGCGATATGTGATGTATCAGCACTTTAATTTGCAGAATTAAAGTGAATTTGAGGACAAATGTCTGCAGTACCTCCAAATCCCGGTCGAAGCCTGTTGTCGTATCCGTCCAGTAACCTGTCCAGTATGCGCGTGATGTTATCCAAATAGATGCTGGTTTCAGTCGGTGCGCTTGACCAGACCTGCCGCACACTGCAGAACGCGCGCGGGGGGGGGTCAACATTTTCATTTTTCTTCACAAAAAGCTGCTGAAAAAGTTCTCCATCTTTTTTAAAACTCACTTTACTGCATCACTCCACTCACACACGGGCACAGAAACACGGCCAGCGCCGCGCAACAGATCCACACACCGCAAATACCGTCCGCATTACAAACACACCAGCACTGCGCGCGCTTACAGCGGCGAAACAAACAAGCACGAGCGCGAAAAGACAGCAAAAAGTGCACTTTCTTACTTACCAGGAGAGGAAAACGCACGTGCACATCATCCAAGCCATGGCTCTCACTCTCTCACTCTCTCTCTATCTCTATCTCTGTCGCGCGCTGTGGCACGAGGAAGGGTGGGTGGTGTGGTGGGGGTAGTTGGTGTGGGGGGGTGGTTAGTAAACTGCCCCCTTCAGACGCTTGCGTGCGCTTCTTCAGTGAAGGAGCTTTTTTACGCGCACGCGCGCGCGCCGGAGGAGGCATGATGGGAGATTCTGAACTGGGGCTTCTTTTATGTTGGTGCCAGTGTGCGCGCGCACAGATGGAAAGAAAATGAAAGCAAAGGCTGGCAAAATGTGTCATATGTATGCTGGAGATTGTTTCTGCTGAAATGATGATAGAAACCAGTAAAAGGTTCTGCACAGTGTCTAATGGTGTTCTGTGTTTTCCTGATGGGCTGATATCACCGTGTGAAGGAGTCTGATGGTTTAACACAGACTCGAGCACTAAGAGGGCCTTATTTAAGAATCTGAACAGCTCAGTGGGACCGAGAACATCTAGGTTTATTCCAGTTTTAAGTAAAAATTTGTTAGAACCTGAACTGAAATGTAGCCACTTGTAGCAGACCTTGAAATATTACATGAATACTTGAAATATTAAACACATTATCTGCCAATATAGTGAAATAAATGTACTCAGTAAAATGACCTAAAATAAGGTAAATCATTTTAAATCGGTCTTACAACAATCTCAACAGGAGACACATTAGATTTATTACTATATTTAAGATCATTTTACTCGACATCATTTTTTGCAGTGTATATATATGTATATATATATATATATATATATATATATATATATATATATATGTGTGTGTGTGTGTGTGTGTGTGTGTGTGTGTATAGTAGCACTGCTGTGTCTGATTCACTCAGACCAGCACAACACACACTAACACACCACCACCACGTTAGTGTTACTGCAGTGCTGAGAATGATCCACCACCCAAATAGTACCTGCTCTGTGAGGGTCCATGGGGGTCCTGACCACTGAAGAACAGGGTAAAAGGTGGCAAAATGGACAATGAGCGTAGAAACAAGGAGGTCGTCATATATACATACACACACACACACACAGACACATATATATATATATATATATATATATATATATGTATAATCTCCATTTGACCTAATTTGAAAATGTCTGTTGTCTTTTACATTGCATTACAACCCCAATCCCAAAAAAAATTTAAATTGGGATGCTTTGTAACATGTAAATAAATGTAAATAAAAACAGAATGCAATGATCTACAAATCTCATAGGCCCATATTTTATTCCCAATAGAGCATAGAACACATATCAGATGTTGAAAGTGAGACATTTTACCATTTCATGAAAAATATGAACTCATTTTGAACTTGATGGCAGCAACACATCTCAAACAGTTGGGACAGGGCCGAGTCTACCACTGTGTAGCATCCCCTCTTCTTTTAACAGCAGTCTGTAAACGTCTGGGAAGTGAGGAGACCAATTACTGGAGTTTTGGGAGAGGAATGTTGTCCCATTCTTGTCTGATGGTTTTTGGTTTCATGATGAAATGTTTTCTATTGGTGAAAGGTCTGGACTGCAGGCAGGTCAGTTCAGCACCCGGACTCTTCTTCTACGAAGCCGTGCTGTTGTGATGATGCAGTATGTGGTTTATTGTCTTGCTGAAATATGAAGGCCTTCCCTGAAAGAGACGCTGTCTGGATGGGAGATAATTGTTGTCCTAAAACCTCTATGTACTGTTCAGCATTGATAGACCCTTTCCAGATGTGTAAGCTGCCCACACCATAGGCACTAATGCAGCCCCAGACCATCAGAGATGCAGGCGTTTAAACTTTGTGCTGATAACAAGCTGGATGGTCCATCTCCTCTTGAGTCTGCAGGACACGGTGTCCATGGTCACAGAACAGTTTTCCATTTTGCCTCAGTCCATTTTAAATGAGCGTTGGCCCAGAGAAGACGGCGGCGTTTCTGGATCATGTTGACATATTGGGGATGCTACACAGTGGTAGACGCAGCCCTGTCCCAACTTTTTTGAGATGTGTTGCTGCCATCAAGTTCAAAATGAGTTAATGTTTTTCATAAAATGGTAAAATGTCTCACTTTCAACATCTGATATGTGTTCTGTGTTCTATTGTGAATAAAATATGGGTCTATGAGATTTGCTAATCATTGCATTCTGTTTTTATTTACATTTATTTACATTTTACACAGTGTCCCTGCTTTTTTGGGATTGGGGTTGTAATGCAAAGTTTTACGATGAACAGACCAGAAACGGCTCAGAATGACTTGTAAAAATGTCTGGTTCCATTGACTTACATTAAAAGTGAAGTGTGTTTTTTTCCTTCTCCTGTAAAGTTACCATTGTGGAGACACAAGGTTTTGTTCTTACAACAGCAGTATATACATACAGTTAAACCTTTTTAAAAGAGGAGGTCTTAAAACCTACCGTTGTGCTTGATATAGTCACCTGGCGCCTTTTCTTTGCTGCAAGCTAGTTTTGCTTTAGAGTTTTAACTTTTGTGGATGCAGTGATGAACTGTTTTCACAGACATTGTTTTTCAGAAGTGTTTCTGAGTCCATGCAGTGATTTCCACTACAGAATCATGTCTGTTTTTAATGCAGTGCTGCCTGAGGGCCCAAAGATCACGGCCAGCAAATACTGGTTTTCAGCCTTGTTCCTTACATACAGAGATTTCTCCAGATTCTCTGAATCTTTTAATGATATTATGTACCGTAGATGATGAAAAGCAGAAGTTCTTTGCTGTTTTATGTTGAGAAACGTTATTCTTGAATCGTTGCACTATTTGATGGTGCAGTCTTTCACAGAGTGGTGAACCCCTCCTCATCTGTACTTCTGAAAGACTCCGCCTCTCTGAGATGCTCTTTTATACCCAATCATGTCACTGACCTGTTGCCAACGCAACTTTACCAGTCTTTTGTTGCCCCTGTCCCAACTTTTTTGGAACGTGTTGTTGGCATCAAATAAATATTTTTCAAAAACCAATCAAATTTCTCAGTTTCATCATTTGATTTGTTGTCTTTGTACTATTTTAAATGAAATATAGGGTTTAAATGCACAGCGTCCCAACTTTTTTGGAAATGGGGTTGTATTTACACAGAAATGTGCAGTAACTCTTACACTATGTGGAAGAACAGAGGGGTCAGAATGCTGTGGAGGTCACTGCTTTATCCAGCACTCCCACCACACAGACTTCACCGCCAACGTCGCCGGTTTTGGATGAGACCCGGTCAGACCTCTAGTTTGTGGGACAGCTTTAAAAATGAAGTGGTTGTTGCAGAAGAATGGCGAGAGAATTTTTGCTTGTCGAGGATGTCGCTGTTGTCGTTGAGCCGCTGACCGCGTGTTTCTGTGTTTTCATGTGGACAGGATTTTTTTTTAAAACAAAAGAGGTAAAAATAGTCTTGTACACGTGGACTAAGCCTGAAGTTATGTAGCTGCTTTTGTCTCTGCTGTGATGATGTAGTCGATTAAGGCCGTTCTTCCTGCTAAAATCAAAAACAGCAGACAAGCTAATGAGCTAACGTACTAAATAGTCTCAGATAAGAAACCCTCCATTTTTCTGACTATAAAGGACTTTGTAATTATGACTGTGTAGGTGGAGACAGTGAAAGTGTAATGATAATAATAATAATAATAATAATAATAAGGGCATTTATGATGTAGCATGGTGGTTGGTATAGTGTAGTGGGTAACACCTCTGCCTTCTATGCTGTAGACAGGGGTCCAACACCCTACACTATACCAATAAGAGTCCTTGGGCAAGACTCCTAACACTGCCTTCACTTACCTGTGTAAAATGATCCAATTTTAAGTCGCTCTGGATAAGAGCGTCTGCCAGATGCGTAAATGTAATAATAATAATAATAATAATAATAATAATAATAATATGTTTCATTTAAATGTGCCTTTCAAGACCTCAAGTAAAGTGGTAAAATTAGTGATTAAAGGTTAAAGTATAAAATGTGGTTTAAAAAGTCAGGATTTTGGATTATTTATTTATTTATTTACAAAATGTTTCCTTTGTCATATGTTTAAAATTCTATGGGCCCCTTTTTAAGGACTACTGTAAGCACAACATCAGCACTCCAGCACTGCTAAGACAATTCGGTGAACTGCTTGTCAGATTTGCTGTCTCATAAACGGTGGTTGTGCCAAGTTGAAAGGTTCATGTAAGTGAGCCATTAAGCAAACCTCAGCCTGCACTTTGCTTTCAGTTGTTTCCGGCTCTTCCATGCAATATTTTTCCAGTGAAGTTTAATGCAGGGCGTTTATGATGTAGCATCTAAAGTCAAATGGTCTGTATTGTCATTCTACAATATAACTTGTATACATTGGAATACATATATACATATATATATATATATATATATATATATATATATATATATATCCTGTGACCACTGATGAAGGACTAGAGGATGACCAACACAAACTGTGCAGCAGCAGATAGTCAGAGCTATCGTCTCTGACTTTACATCCACAAGGTGGACTGACAAGGTAGGAGTGTCTAATAGAGTGGACACAGTGTTTAAAAACCCATCCACTCGTACCAGCGCAACACACACTAACACACCACCACCACGTCAGTGTTACTGCAGTGCTGAGAATGATCCACCACCCAAATAGTACCTGCTCTGTGAGGGTCCATGGGGGTCCTGACTACTGAAGAACAGGGTAAAAGGGGGCTAACAGAGTACGCAGAGAAACAGATGGACTACAGTCTGTAACTGTAGAACTACAAAGTGCACCTATATAGTAAGTGGAGCTGATAAAATGGACAATGAGCGTAGAAACAAGGATGTAGACCAAATGAAGTGGCTGGTTAGTGTATATTTCATAAATCTTAATTTAGAGGGTACCTTCTGATGGGAAGCCCTAAATTTAAACATTAGCATTTTTATTTAATGTTGTCACTTTTTTTATTTATTTAAGGTTTTTGTTTTTAGATTTTTCATCAGTTCAGTTTTTAAATAAAAAAAGATTTTTAGTGTATAGGTGAAGCTGTATTTTAGCCATATATATGTATATATGTATGTATA